ACGAAGCACACAGTGCCTTCACGACATGGCGGCGGCGGCAACAATACTACAGCGAGAATAAAAGTTACTCCTTCTTTCTTTGCGTGAACATTTGTGCGGCGTTATGCAAATCTTCCCACAAAGGTGACGTAGACATGTGGGGGCGTGTTTAAACGAGGCATTTTAGGAGGGTGTGGACAAGTCTTAACTTTTATAAATAATATCTCTTTGGATTTGAGACTTTAGTCTTTGCAACTTTACAGATCTTCTTTATGCACCAATAGCTTGTAACACTTCAAAGAGAAAGGAAAATTTGAAATCGCATGATATGACCCCTTTAAGCCTGTTTTTAAACATGTGCAGGGCTTATATTGAATACAGAAGAGGGTTATATGTGGGTCACATTTCTTTATTTGCATGCTATATGCTTGTGAATGAATTGCATATGTCCGGGTGAGTTTGTGTTTGCCGCCCCCTTATGGTTGAATAGACAAACTGCTCCACTGATCCGGCATCAGCTGGGCTGAGCTCACCCCAGCTGTCTCTGGGCACTGCTCCCAGTCTATTTAAAACAAGAAGAGGAGGGTGAATATAATCAGGGCTCATCTTTGTTGTATATCAGATTAAGAGGAACCCTTCGTCTGTTCTATGGGGGTGGACAGTAATTTGGCTGTTTTGTTTGCTTGCAAGACGGCATGATATTTCAAAAGTATACAGACAATTGGAAATCTTTTTGCCGCAGAATGAACAATTTGCGGTTCGGTGTTCAGCATCCTTATGCTGATTTCTTTTTATGCTTAAGCATTTAGAGTAAAAAGATTTGCGTGGTTTGTGGAAGTCTGAAAATAAATGATCTGATGTCTGAACGGCAATTAAATTTCATAAGAACGCGAAGGCTCCCACCCTTACGCCCAGATTACCTGATAATAAAGAACATTGGGAAAGATCTGTGTAATGTAATGATGTGTGCTTTACTGTAATTGTTGTGCTTAATAGCTTCAGAAAGAAGCTGCGGGCTTTTCCATTTATTTGTGTTTAGATCATCGGGGACCTCTGTTCCTTTTAAGTATTATGCCGCTTTGGCTGTGTGTGTGTGTCAAGTATGAGTGCCGTTTCCTGTCGACTCTGCCGCGTGTATTCTCTGTTCATTGTAATGCCTTTAATTAAAGTGATTTTATTCACAGGCACACAGCTGGCATCGGCGACTTTCCATTAGGCATCTGAGTGGCCGCCTCGCTGGTGGGAGGACCCGCACTGGGGCCGCTTCCTGGGGAACACAATACTAGTTTCATCTCCCCTCTGAGTTTGTTGTGTGTTTTGAATTTATTAATCATTGATTTTAATGCGTGCCTCTTGACAGTGGCAGCTACCCATGCATTAATTAATTTCTGAGATCCTCTTTTACAAAATGGCATTTAGAAACAATGCAGGGTCGGCCAGGGTTGCCTCTGACCTATAAAGAGATGTGCTGAATGCGAAATGTCAAAATTTGCTTTTATTTGTTCGTCGTTGTGGCGCTTCTTCACAGGTTTTATTGGCTTTTTTATGTTGATGGCACGGCGATCTAAAAGCCTATTTTTGTAGCCACTGAAATAGCAGTAAATAAAGTTCCTTATGTTTCTGCTGCTCTTTAGGCTCAGGCGTTTCACTGAAAACGCTTCTTAAACTCACCTGCTTTGCATGTGCTGGCAGTCAATCGTCGAGCGAATTGTTGGTCTTAAGTTGCGAAGAAAGGTGCTTTGGGCTGACAATAGCTAGACTGTGTTTATCCGTTCAGGTCTTAAGGAAGTATGTTAAAAAAAATTGCACTCAGTGAATTGTGTGGATTAAAAAGACAGATTAGATCTCAAAGGATGCATAAGGGAGCCGGATTTGAATTTGGAGCAGGATTTGAATGCATTCGAAGTCTCTTAATTTTTTTATTTGTCGAAGAAGGGGGGAAAACACTTATTCATCCATTTAAATGAGTCTGTGCGTTTGAAAAGATAAAAGCTATGCTCATAATCCGTATTGACACTCAGAGATGCGGAAAGGAAGATTCCTAAGACCCATTCGCACTCTGCCCCGTTGAAAGGGCCTGATCCCCATTCAGGAGGCAAACCTAATGCTAAAGATTTTCTGACAGATTTCTTTCTCTGGATTGATCAGGACATGCTGCTAGTAAGCGAGCGCGCCCAGAGAGACGTTTAGGAAGGCGTTCGGTTAGCAGGTGCTTATCACTTGTCTCAAGGAGCTTCTACCAGCCGCAGAGAGCCTTGACTGTGTCTGATGCCATTCTTTGTGCTTATGCAGTAGAACGGTGGGAGACACTCGGTTGTCCTGATACGCAAGCCCTACAGATGTCTTCTTTATTCTGGAAAACGTCAAGGCACAGTTCATCATTTACTTATCCTCATTCCGTTCCAAACCGGTTTGACTTTTTTCTTCTTCTGTGGAACGGAAAAGATATTTGAAAGAATTTGCTACTGTTTTTCTTTATACAAGGAAAGCCAAAACAACCCCAATGGACCCCGTGATAGAGAAGCCACCTATATTTAGTTCTGGAAGTATTAAAAAAGAAAGGAAAAATGTCTTAGTTTCAGAGTTATAATCAATGAACCAACTCTACCTGCCAACTCAACACTACCTAGAACTCTAGAATTCTTTTGGCACGATTTGCTTGTTGCATTCTCTGATTGGTGGATTTTATTTTGAAGAATCGTGGGCAATGTTGTTTTTCATCAGGAATTTTGCTGTTTAACACTATTTAAAAAATAGTAATACAATCAAATAATGCAGACTGATGGCTTTAACAAAAGCATGTGCCATCGATTAACAATCTTGTAGCTTACAGCAGGTCTGTTTTTAAAGGTTTATACGTTATTGTTCAAAATCTATTCCTTTATGGAGAAAATGCATTTTTTGGGGGGGATTTTTAATTCCGGAAACAGACTGGTTCACTCTGTTGACTTTCATTGTATGGACAAAAAAAACAAACAAACATTGTAACATTCTTCAAAATATCTTCTTTTGCGTTTGCAATGACTCACTGTAAATGGTGAAAGAAGTTTCAGTTTTGGATGAACTAATACCACAAATCATACCACAAATGTGTGAAGGATTCTCTCAGGAGCTTTTCTCACCAATTGATATCATCACAGACAGCTGTTTTCGCAGTGTGCCTGTCCTCACCATTTTCCCCTCTCTTGTGTGTTTAAGGACCCCCTATAAGCTTTGCTAGCCACAAAGCCTAAACGATGCTGCCCTTTCTTTTTTCCCTCCATCTGTAAAGAGGGAACAGAAGAACAGAGGCAAAGCGCGAGAGAGAAAGAGTGAGCCATCGATCAGTGCCGATCGTTACACGGCCCCGCACCCTGCCTCTCATTGTTTTTTATCTTGTCTCTCAAGCAGGGTGAACCCTTGTTGCCATGGCATCCCCCACACATTGGCGATGGCACTTCAACCCTTTAGCTTAATGATCTCTTGGCTGATAGCCTACTTGTCAGGCTGACTCGCTCTGTCAAGAAGCAAGGAGGATATTTGAATCGCTAGCATAACCATAACATCTCCATACAAGCTATTTCCACTTTACTTTTACAAAAGCAGGGCATCTAACCAGCCCCTTCCCCTCAATCGCACACATGTATATAGGCCCACATTGATTTTTTATTTCAGACTCCTTGTAGTTCGGCATTGTACAAGTCTCTCGATGCCGAGTGAAATCTTATTTTACATGGAATGAAGCCAATTTCCATTCATTCGGTGTCTTTTTTGTTTTTTAGTCATTACTTTAAACCATCACAGTGCTGGCAGATCAGAGCGGGGTGAAGGATTACCATTCATATAAATAGCTGGCATTAATTCGGCAAAAAGAGAGACTTCTCTGTCATTATGGAGACAGAAAATCCTAATTTAGAAATGTGAACAAAAACGCTGAGCGTTCAATTCAATTCAGTAATCCTCCATATTGCATGAAATCAGAGGTGTCGTGTTACAATGCGCAGTTTAAGTCAGTGTGGAGATTTAGACAAAAGGTAGCGCCTGGAGCTATATCATGATGTACTGAGCTCGACAATGTGTTCTTAGTCAGTGTTTCATTTCATCTCATTCAAATTTTTTTTTTCATATTTGGAAGTACCCTCTCTGTTACCTTTTTATTGCAGTATATGTACAGAACTCATTTGGATCTATGCGGTTAAGGCCTTTAATATTGAATCAGAGACACAAAACCGTGGATAGGCCCTCGTTAATTAACGTATTTTCCTTTTCTGTCTCGCTCACTGTTTCTTTCTCATTGTGGAGACACCATGCGCTACAATCCCAGCACGTCGTATTTGAATATGGACAGAAACAGATCAGATATTAGCAGCTGCTATTGATCCTCAAATAGGGGCCGAGCTGTCTGTTTTGAACGCCGCTGCCCGGTCGATCCCTTCTGACCTAATGTTCACAAGGTAAAAAAAAAAAAAGACAAAACGGGGAAGATTCTGCTCATAATTGGGTTGAGGCAGCAGTTGCTATTTTCATCGACATGAGAGGCTCATCATCTCCAGTAACCAGTATCACAAGATGGAGAGTTCAGCCTCTTGTTGTTCAGCTGTATTGTGCTAAACTGATGTTATACAAAGCCTGATATTCTTCTCTTAGAGGATGTACAGGTGGTATGTTGTGGGTATATTCAATTAATGCAATTAAAGTCAACATATGCTACCGTTCAGAACTTGGGGATTGGTGCGATTGTTTTATGTTATTGAAAGAAGTCTCATATGCTCAACCAAGGCTGCATTTATTTGTTGAAAAATACTGTAAAAACAGTAATATTGTGAAATATCATTACAGTTTAAAGTTATTGTTTTCTATTTAAATATATTTTTAAAATGTAATTTATTCCTGTGATGGCAAAGCTGATTTTTCAGCAGCCATTACTTCATGATTTCAGAGTCACATGATTCTAATATGCTGTTTTGGTACTCAAAACATTGCTTCTTATTATCAATGTTGAAAACAGCTGTGCTGCCTAATATATTTGTAGAAACCTTGCTACTTTTTCAGGATTCTTCAAATTCAAAAGAACCATATTTATTTCAAATTGAATTCTTTTGTAACATAATAAATGTCTTTACTGCCACTTTCAGTTTAATTGACAGCATCCTTGCTGAATAAACGTATCAATTTCTTTCTTAAAAAACAACAACAACAACATACCGATCCCAAACTTTTGCTGGATAGTGTGAATTAATGCAAATACAGCTTATCCCTGATAATTCACATAACAAATTTGCATATTACTCTGGGAACATACTACAAGAGTACAGACATTACGCTGCATTTTTATCCAGATGCATATTAAAGTTTCAACATAAACTGCCCTTGCCAAAATCTTATAAAATGAAAATAAGTTTCCATTGCTGGAGAAATGTTATTGGTCATCATGTTAAAAAGCACACATAGCTTATTTAAAATATTTTCTGTTTCTTCATGCTTGACAAGTCTTCATGCATGTCAAGTGTAGGCCACCTGATTTCCAAACAGCTGTTGTTATTTATCTATGCATTTTAAATTTGTCCGAGTGTACATCTTCAGATTTTAGTCCTTCGTTTCTGATGCGATGTAAATATTAATGCTATGAAATATGCCTGCCAACAGCTTAGGTAAGGATTATTTAAAGTGGGCTCCAAATTTCCATTCGTATCCTTTGGTATGAATGCATGTGCTACTCGCAGGTCTGTCAGATTCCTCTGTCTTTTTGGACCACAGCACACTAATACATAAAAGGTTTTATTTTAATAGATCATGGAACAAACCCAGTACGTTAAAATGAGCTGATTTAATTCTGCTGTTATTCAGGATGTTCAAGACAGGGACTACACATCTTCTTTGTTGCTTTATTGCATTGGCCATGTGCAAGCTTGCATGAGCTGCAGCTCAAATTCTCTTTGAGCACCAAACCTTTTTATGCACTCCACTGGTTAGTTGTGATTTTGTGAAACAGAACTACTCACCCGATTTAACTCACTCCGCCAAATGCACTTTTTCTTCTTACACCTGTGGACTAGTAGAAACAAGAAATGATGATTCCACTTTAAATACTTTTGTTGTATCCCTAATTACTTTCAATATGTATTTTTGTTAGTTTATATCTAACAGTTCTGACACAAAATTGCGAGATGTAAAAGTCAGAATTCTGAGTTTATATCACAATTCTATTTTTTATGACAAAATAATAATAAAAAAACTATGACTTATTTTCTCACAATTGCATGTTACCAAATCTTTTGCTATTCTGAGTTTATATCTTGATTATTGTGAGCTTTGTGAGGAAATAAGTGTGAAATAAACACAAAATTGAGAAAAATCTGAATTGTTAAATTAAAAGTTGCAATTACCTTTTTTTTTTTTTTTAGCTATGGACTATGGACACTAAAAAAATGTGTAGGATTTACTTTTTTATTTAGAAATTGCGAGTACATTTCCCAAATAATTGCAGAGAAATGGCAAGTAACACATTGAATTAAACATGACATTTTAAAGACTGACAGTATTTTTCTAGTAAAATGTACTCAAATTTTTTTTTTTTTTCAACTTAAAAAAAAAAAAACTTTTTTTTTTAAACGGTGTACTCAACTGTCTAGTGTATGCATTTTAGAAGGTTATATTGTCATCCAGCACAAACATTCCACACTTTAGCTATTTATTTATTTACTTATTCATTTTATTTATTTATTTTTCGGTTAACTAAGGCCATGTCCACACTAGTGTTCATTTTGTCAGCTATTTTCATTTTAGTCTTAGTCTAAAATGTCCATGTTAGTTTTTATCATATTTAGTCAACCTTATCCTATTTAATTTTAGTCAAGTTTTAGTCGACTAAAAGTCTCAACATTTTAGTCTAGTTGTAGTCCAAGGAAATCTAAAGTATTTTAGTCTAGTTTTAGTTGAAGAAAACTTGAAGTATTTTAGTCTAGTTTTAGTCAATGAAAACTTGACATTTTAGCAATAAGATTATTATTAATTAACCGTACAGCAGTATTAATTTTGGTAGCCATGTTTAATTTAGTCTTAGTCTTAGTCTTACTCAAATGTACATTTTAGTTATCATATTTAG